ATAATAGAGGGAGAAAATGTACCGGCTGCCTATCCCTGCCTAGACACTAGCTAAGGTCATATGCTATACTAGATAAGTTTCAATGACAAAAAGACATGGCGAACAATATGTTAAAACACACTCGACAACTTTTCTATGACCAATAAATCTTATTTGTCTGAAAGAAAGATTTTTATGTCTACTTAAAATGTTAAGCGATCTATTCAACAAAATATCACAAGCTTCATTATTCTCTTCAAAGATAGTATCTCGTTAACATTTAGTATTTAGTGGTTGGTTTGATGAGTATAAAACTCAGCAATATTTTCGTTCGAAATTAAAACTAAGCACAATAGGGATCCATGGATATCACTATGTTTAGAAAGATACAACCTTTTATTCAAAGCCAACATGGACATCGCAAAACATTGGTATGAACATTCGGGTTTTGTTAATTAAGGTTTCAAGAGAACTTATTAATCATACTTAACAAGAAAAAATTGTCATCCTCTATGCATTGGCTATACATATAAAGCATGGCAAACAATACGTCGAAAGATAAGCATTTCTTTCTTTAGGTGTTTAATAGCCGTCTCGATGTATCCGGCCTGGGCCGAAAATTGATTCATTGAACTTCATTGGACATGATACGTGTCACGAGACCCATGAAGAAGGCAAGATAAGGGTGGGTCCCAAGAACTACAAAATTTAAAAATTAAAAAAAAAAAAAAAAGACACACCCCGATGTGAACGGCCAACGAACCCTATCATGTCTTCTAGAGTTGGGTAGGGCAAATTTGTTTGGCCCACCTCATTCTTAGGGGAACAGCAATAATAATCAAATCGAAATCCCGAGGAAGCGGTCAAAGGGAGCAGTTAGAGATTCTTCCGTAGGCCTGGGGTCCATCGCCTAATCATGCACCGCCCGTCATCGATCACGCCCGCGAGGAGTTTTCTGCTTTTCAACGGTGGATAAGCCCAATCATGGTGCGGATCTATGGGCTAGCAGCGTGGACCTGAGGCCTACCGGATAACTCGGCCTTCGAAAACATTTGCGCGCCAAATTGTTTTCCTCCCCGACCGGACGGCACGTGACGAACGTAAGGGAGAGAGAGAGAGAGCGCATGTGTTGGGCAGGCGAGGGTAGATCCGGACGGGTGTAATCTTTTACAGTGAGGAAGCTTCCGACCGAATGTCGACACTTTAATAGAAAAAAGTTAATAATAATTATAATTCGGAAAAACAGTATAGAATATGATATTGGTAAATCGAGACATTTGAATCAGATAACAAATATGTGAAATAGAGAACTGTGTGATTCTTATATATTTCTGTGTTTAATAAATATTCTTATATAAATCGAGACACTTTAGGTTTTTTACGATGATTTGTTTAAGGTAACAAAATCGAATGAATGTCATTTTACATAAAGCTCAAATAAAATTAATTCTGTGGATAAACAGTCACATATATGTGCATTGCGGACTAAGAGTGTAGTATTACTTGATCTCAAATGTGTATACATGTACAGGCAAATACCACAAAAAAAAACCTTAAACTATACCCATTGTGACATAAATACCTCTAATTTTTTAGTGTCACAAAAAAACTCAAACTTATACATGTGTGACGTATATACCTTATATTAGAGTTCCATCCGAGGTATATTTATCACGTTGGTAAATGTTCAGAGTTTTTTATAACACAAAAAATGTTTGGGATATTTCTATCACAATTGGCAAGTTTAGGATTTAATATGACAAAAAAAATTAGGATATTTGTGTCATATTGGGTATAAGTTAGGATTTTTTGTGATATTAATCGTAAATGGATCAAAAGTAAGTAATTAAAATCTTTATGTCTCCTCAATAGCCTCCTAAGCTCGTACTTCTAGGTCAACCAATGTCTGCAAGATGAGATATCACTTATCTCCTTTGCCTTTTCTTTACACTTGGAAAAAATTATTGCCAGGCATTCTTATTTTCCCATTTAAAATCTTTATTTTTTTTTTGTTTCCTAGTCTTTGATTTTACAACATTAAACTTCAATCACAAGGCAAGTATAACATGTAAAGACTCATGCTTTAGACTCTCTTTAACAAAAGAAAGAAAAGAAAAATTCACACTTCAGATTGCCAAACCCTAAAAAGCCCAAGTCTTCATTTTAATATTCTATACTCCTAAAAGTGAGTTAACTCTCTCATATATGTTGACTCCCCCTTCTAAGTTCTAATTCATATTAAATATTTTTTAGGGGGTCATTTTTTTTTTTATTTTTTCTGGCGTCCAAAAAATAATTTATCTTATGCAATCAACAGGTGGGCCTGTGAAGATAAGAACAAGGTGATTGGATTTTGCTCTATTTTATATTTCCTTCTAAGCCCGAGAGAGAGGGGACCAATAATGCACGGGATTGCTAGAAGCGAATTAGGTTTTTAGTACCTGTTTTAGATTTAATTTATAAAAAAATGTGTGAATAAAAAGAAGTAAATGTTTTTCATGTGCGAGCCCACTACGAGAAAGTAAAAGATATGATAGAGAGAAGGGAGAGCGAAAGAAAAAAAAATGCAAAGTAAAAAGCAGCTGGAGAAATATAAATAAAAAAAACAGAAAATTGATGTTTTAAAATTTATTAAAGAGTAACATTACTGGGACATAAATATCTATTTGCAAGATTGGCTCACATAGTTCAAAGTAAATAGAAAAAAAAAAGCTTTTTTAGCATATAATAAGAACTCGTCACGTCACTTCGTAGACTAATTTTATAAATCCGTTTTTGATTTCCAAAATTGTTCTTTTTACTAAGCATGCACCGATGTAAATGATTTCACACAATTATCAATCTCAAGATGCAAATATTCATTTATAATGTAATTAATATTTTTATCCTACCTGCGGAATAATTCTTTGACACCATCAATGTATCAAATTTTGAGCCCGTGAAATTGGGCAAGCAACAATAAATATTGTAAGAGAATGGTTTCATTCTTCTTCATCAAAGATTCACGGGAAAGTCATGTTTTCCATAATTTCACGGTGCCAAAAAGTAATTTTTACTGCTTTGCCACAGCTTATCAACAAGCATGTCAGCCCTGCCAATTTTTTAGATAATATGCGGTTATGTTAATGATTAACGCGAGTCAGAGACCCTTTCTTCTAATTAATTAAGAATATCGAGAGGACTAATATAATAGAAGCACACATTTTATAGTCATATATAGACTTCATTGTTGGTCGACATAGAATGTTTCCATAGGCTATTTTCACCAAAATAAATAACTTTTGTTGTGTCCTTTCACATATTCACTCATATAATAGAAAGTCCAATTATAATTTTTCATTTATTAAATCAAACTTGTGTTTTGTTAGAAAAAGAACACGCATAGACCCATGTATTGTTAGGAAAAATATTTCTACGTCAGTTTGGAAATTGTTCATCCTTTATAATCCGTGTTAATCTCGTATTAAATGGACTTTTCATATTATTCAACATATTGCACGTATTTTAAGAATTTAATTTACACAGTACCAATTATCCTCTTTCGTATTCATTGGGTATAAATTACTAAAAGTACGTACATTAGATTATATTTGGCTTTATCGCGTAATTAACTTAGAGTCCGGAATAATATTATTTTCGTTCATTGTCAAAATTCAAAATTGACAAATTTTCCCAATCCAAGGTGGCCAAAGAATAACTACTTTAGTGTGGTGAGTTTGTAACAGAAAAACAGGATAGTAAATACATATTTAAAGTGTGACAAAAAACAAGATGTGATTTAATGACATAATATTAATATTATTTATGTCGTTCTTAATATTAAAATGTTTTGGATTTCCAATTAATGGCAATAGGATTTCGTTGATTTGTACACGCCTTTGTGCATTTACTTTTTTCATCTTGAGCGCTGAAATTAATATTGTAAATGCTGAAGAAACACATTTACAATACCTGAAGAAATTATGAAAAATGTAATAAATGGAGATTGAGAATTCAATTGAGAGAGAGATCTCCTCCAAGTGGTGATTAAATTATAAAGTACGAAATTGTGCACATTTAATTGGCCCAATGAAATTATTATTCATGACATGTTAATACTTATTGACTACCTAATTCCATATCCATTCTTTTGCGTCATAATTATGTGACGATTTTTTCTAATTCAAAAAAAGAAGAAGAAAATCTCTTTGTTGCCCTTTTCAAATAAAGACTTAAAAGTGGATTATTTTCACCAGACGTAACCTGATTCATGAAATAAATGCGTGGGGATTTCATATGACATTTCAGATAATACAATCATCGAATTCAATGCATCATTTATTTGACAAAACGTCACGCATTCGTCATCACATCCGAGTTTTAATAAAGTTAAATGTATCGATAATCTCATTAAAAAACTGTATTGATAATCTCCTTAAATACTTTTTAGTTAAAAAAAGAAGAAGCTAATTTTCCAATTAAAATTTCAGATTTCGAATAGTAGGAGCTCGTATTATTTCTTCATTGATGAAAATTTGGGAAGTTCGTACGAGCTAAAACATAAATTCTAATTAGAAGTCATGTAAAAAAAAATCACAACACCTGCCTATTTAAAAAAGCAAATATTACTTCATATATCCACCCGATGCCATAATAAAAAAAAGGGAAAAATAATTACCACATTGTCCCAAAAAGCCAACATTTATAATTTATTTATGTATATGGTAACACCAAACCCAACAACATTTTCTATGATATTTTGTCCCAAAAAGCCCACATTTATTAATTTTATTTTTTTATTTATGGTAACACCAAACCCAACATCATCTACAAAAAAACAATTTCATTATAACGTAAAAGGAGCAACAACATGAGAAAATAACGGACAGCTGTGGAGTTTCGAGGTGGGTCCCGACCTCTACTAAAGTTCATCGCCACGAGAAAATCTCTCTCTCTCTCCCGCCTTCCCGCTCCTTCTTGAATCTCATCTTCCTCTTCCTGCAATCTCCTCCACTTTTTTTTTACTCTCTCTCTCTCTCACGCTCTCGCTCTGGAAGATACCCAGAAAGGGAGAGAGGCTTCAGAGGAGGAGGAGAGAGAGAGAGAGAGAGTGGAGGGGGGTGGGGTGTGCTCTAGAGAGAGAGAGAGAGATGTGAAGCAGCTTCTTCTCTGGAAATGGATACTCCAGAGAGGAACCAGATCGCCCCTCCCATCTCTAAGTTCGAGGTAACTTACGCTCCCCCCCGCTGAGAATCTCGAGTACCCATTTCGGTTCTGTCGTCAAATTCGTCTCTTTTTTTCGCCTTTCTTCGTGGGGCGGTCGAGGTTGGCTCTGGCAAGTTCTTGGATCTCTTGAGGCTTGATTGTGGGGTGTTGACTCGATCCTTGCCTGGTCTGCATGTTCTTCGTGTCGGTCGCATCTGGGTCGTTGACCTTCAATTTGAAATGGGGGTTCTTTTCATTCGAGTTGATTGTAGTGACTCAGCTTCTTTGGAGTTTTTGAGAAGAATTCGGGGGTATTTGAAGGGGGGAAAGAAGGAGCTTCGAATTATTTAAGGTTGTCTGGAAGTATGGTGGTCTGAACTCAAGCTAATTTGAGTAGATCTCCACTTGGTGCTTTAAATCTCTCTATGTTTAGATCTCTGGCAAGTCAATGCTGGTGGACCTCGCTTTTCGATGATAATCTTCTCTTGATTTTACTTTGAGCTAGTTTGGGGGGCATGGTTTTGGAAATTTGAAGCAATTGTCTGGAGTTTTCTGTCTAATTTCTCCTTTTGGGGGTCAGAAATTTCTGACTAAGTGTTTAATTAGTCAAAAGTGGTGTTTTTCGGGGGGAAATGGCTAGAGATGTTTACTGGCAACCCCTTTTATGAGTGAGCTACAGATCCTTTGGTTAATGCACTCGAGGTGGTCTCAGCGAGGTCTTAAGTGGTTACACTGCTGCTTCTTCTTTTATGTAATTTCTTCACAATTCCCACATGTCAGTATTACCGTCTTGGGTTGAGGAGTGGATCTGACTGAATGTCCTCTTTTTGTTGATCTAACAAGCCCACAAACAGCTTTGCCAGGGAGAATTTATCATATACTCACCATAGTTTTGCATTTGAGAGCCCTCAGTTGTGAGCCCTTCTATTTTCTGGCCTATAATTCTAGTTGGCATGTTTTATTGCAACAATTCTTGAGTCTGTTTAACACGGAAATAAGGTATGCTGTTTTGCAGGTAATGAAGTTATGCTTAATTAAGTTTTGCATTATATACAGAAGCAGAATTTGATTTGAGAATCGGTTAATTAAACGTTTTTCTTGAGTTCAGTGCTTTCTGGTCAAGTGTCTCCACTTTGCGTTTGTTTTTTATGTGTATAATTCTACTTTTACATCGCTTCCGTGCATTTCTTTCTTTGGATGCATATAATGTGTGGTCCGAGAATAATAGTTTCTCCATGATTGCAGGACTCGCCAGTTTTCAATTATATCAACAGTCTCTCCCCCATAAAGCCAGTGAAGTCCATACGAATCACTCAGGCATTCGGCTCGCTGACTTTTGCATCTCTTCCATCCATTTTCACTTCTCCACATGTCAGTTCTTCTCACAAGGAATCGAGATTTCTGAGAAGGTGATTGTCTGTCTTTCTTGTTTACCCCTGCACAGTTGGCTCAGGCTGCCATATTTGTATGTGTCTTCTAACAAAAGTCTCTTTTTTTAGCCATCAAGACTCAGATCCGTCAAATAGCGGAACTTCTTGTAAAGATGAGAATAAAACTTCAATAGCTGAACGCGATGTTTCTGATGTGGCTCAGTTGGCTGAAAATGAAAGCGAGCTGCAGGAAAACTTCGATATCTTGGTTCCCATTGGAGAATCTTCTGTTGAACCGCTTCACGAACACCAAGAATTTGCGCTTGAACTGCCGCAATCCTTAAAGTACGACTGTGGCAGTCCAAATTGCAACCCAACGCCGTGCAGCACCGATGCAGAGTGTACTGTTTCCAAGTCAGATGCTCCATTTGTTGAAAAGAACTCCCAAATAGGCTTACCTGATGGTAAATCACATCAGGAGGGAATTTCTCAACAGAAAAACAATACAGGGTGTGAATGGGAGACTGTGGCTTCAGAGTCGACGGACCTTTTAATCTTTAGTTCCCCTAATGATGCTGCTGCTTTTAGGGGACTGATCCAGAGATCACCAGATGTAGAGGTGGGATATTTCACTTCTATGGTGTCAAATTTTGCTCAGAACGAGGTTAACGATGAACTGAAAAAGCAGCTACTGTATCAACTCACTTTTGACGAACAGCATGAAGCAGAGGAGCCTTCTTGTCAGCCTGTAGATTCCAGCGAGCAGAAAGACACAAATACTATCCAGAATGGTGTCGCAATAAGCAATCTGGATAATCATACCGGTACTTATTTGAGTGTAAATATGGATGATGAGGTGGGAGCGCTAATTCCATTTGTTAATAAGGTAAAAGATACAGCTTGATTGTTACTCCATGTTTTCTCTTACAAATTTTGCTGTTTCTTATGTGCTGGCACAGTATCCAAAGTATTTGCGGTCATCTGCCTCTTCAAGAAGTAGACCAGATGCACAGAAATCCCTGATCCAAAATTGCATCTTTCTTCTTATTCTCACAGAAATTGTATTAGAACTTAATGATACTGTCCCACATTTTTTTTATTTTCATAGCTTCTAAAACCAGTTATTAATCCATCTGCGAACTCATTCTTATTGGAAACACATGTGACGTGCTTTTCTGTAACATGCCGTGATGATGCTGAACGTAGCTTTTTAATTGTATTTGCAACTTTTTAAGCATCTTGAGTCAGAAATTCCCGAAAAAATCTCTTATCTGCTTTTAGTTTCTCGATACTTTTAGCTCTTGTTTTAATCTAATGGAGTTTCAGTACTATTTAGTCTTCCAGCTGCACTTTTAACCATTTGTAGAAACATTTTTTGCTTGTGTTAATTGCTGAAACACATAGAATTCTGTTGGATGGTATAACAAACTGAAGTACCTCTGTCTCTTGATTTGTAGCCTATCTCTGATCTACCTCGTGGTTTGAGAAGGCGCTGTCTTGATTTTGAGATGGTGGGAACTCAGCAGAAGAGCTTGGACGGCAGTTCAGGTGGTAATTCTTCGCCACTACTTAACTCTGATGAGAATAATGTACCAAAAAATAAGCAATTGGTCGTCGTCAAACGTGGAGGTGATTCTTCACGGTGTATTGTACCTGGAATCGGCTTGCACTTGAATGCTTTGACTTCAACTACAAACGACTCCAGAATCGTTAAACACGAAGGCTTGTTATCTGATGTCCAAGCATTAAACATGCACATGTCCACAACCTCGTTGCAGTCTCCCTTGACCAATCAGGAGTCGCTTCATAAGTCTTTGACTTCGAGTAATGCTGAAGACATGGACATTGCTGATCATGGGCTTCAGGTTGCTGAAGAAGCTTCTCAGGCACCCGCAGATCTGAACTATGAAGAGCATGGCCAGACTAGTCCCCGAAAGAAAAGGCATGTATAATCTGTTTATAACTCGATCTTCAAGACCGTATTTTCGGTATACTGCTTTTGATGCTTCCCTCTCCTTATATGCCCCATTTGATTTGCAGGAGACGACTGGAGAATGGCGGAGAAAGTGAGAGCTGCAAGCGCTGCAACTGTAAAAAATCAAAATGTTTGAAGCTGTAAGTTCACTTGTTGACTCAATTTTTTTCCTTTTTAAACCCTGGAACTCTGGATGCATTAAATACCCTTTGTTGTATTTAATTAACATACTTGCCATCCAGTTTTTGGCCCACAAGCCAGGGAAAGCACTTAGTCATTAAAGTCTTCTATGATGTAGAAAACCGATAGTTTCACAATGCTGTACGTTTCAAACCTAAGTAATCGGTCCTCTCTTTTTGCTTGGCACTAAATAACTGTTCTTGATTCGCTACAAAAGAATCTTGTGGCAGAAAACTGCTTGCAGAAGTGCTGAAATGATACATGGAAAGAAAACTGAGTTGAGGTGTTATGTCAATTGTTTAAGCGAAGTACTTGTCCCAACAAGGGCTGACTGTCAAATGCAATCTTATCATACTTATAAGGTATGTAATCATTTAGATCTGAACTTCAACCCTTTAATAAAGACTTTGCACTGGGCCCTTATGTCCTCAGCGCAGGATGAGTCTCCAATTCCCTTTGAGTGACAATTTCATAGAAGCCAAAAGGGTGGCCTTAATGTCATTGTATTTGGTCATAACTGGAGTGTAATGCTGATAACTTAAATACTTGAGAGATGGTATTTGTAAGCAACCCAGAAAAGCAGGATGTTAAAGATACTCTGTCAGCTGAGTCATTCCAGTGAAACTTAAAAATGGAAGCCACCCAAGAGACGAATCGTCCACGTTAGGTCATTTTTGGCAAATCAAAAGGGAATTAGATGAACAATTTCAGGAAGTCTGGAGACTATTAGTATGCTATTTGACCCATCGAATTTGTCTATGCAGTTACTGTGAATGTTTTGCTGCTGGTGTCTACTGCATCGAGCCATGTGCATGTCAAGATTGCTTCAACAAGCCTATTCATGAAGACACTGTTCTTGCAACTAGAAAACAGATCGAGTCGCGTAACCCGCTTGCATTTGCTCCAAAAGTTATTAGGTCTTCTGAATCTGCTTCTGAATTTGGGGTAAGAAAATATGATTTGTCAACTCTTTTACTGCTCATTGGCCAAAAAGGGGATAAAAATGAAACACTGCCTAACATGTCACTTCTTCGTTTGCCCTGTGTAGGATGATTCTAGCAAAACGCCAGCTTCAGCACGGCATAAAAGAGGATGCAATTGTAAGAAGTCCAGTTGCCTCAAGAAATACTGCGAATGCTATCAGGTTTTTACTTTCAGATTGCACTGTCCAATTTGATCTTCGGCTATAATTCTTTATTAATGGTGATTTTTATTTCAAAAAGGGTGGTGTTGGATGCTCCGTCAACTGTCGATGCGAAGGGTGTAAAAATGCATTCGGTACAAAAGATGGTAAGTGATCCTCATGCCGCCTTAGCATGTTGCTCACTAATTACCATCACCAACCTTCTACCCTTCTGCTACTTTATTCTGATGCGTTTGTTTACACTATTTTATGGTCTCGAAACTAAATGAAATTCCTTGATTGAAATTGTTCACTGTGGAATTCAGGGTCTGCTCTAAGAGGACCAGATTGCGAAGAAGAAGAAGAAGAAGAGACTGAGAAATGCGAAAAGAACAAAGCGGAGAAAATTCCATGGAAAGCGGAAAATCAGAATAGTGATGAGCTGAATTTAGCTTCTGGTCTTCCAAGCACACCATCCAGGTTTCGCAGGTTTGGTTAACTTAAATTCTTGCAATCCTTTAGTCTCTCTCATTTTAGCTCCTTCGCTAACAAATATATTTTCTGGTCATTTGACTCTATTTTGGGCATCTGGCAGACCTTTGGTTCAGTTGGCATTTCCATCGAAGCTCAAGCAGCCTCGTTCGTCTTTCGTCACCATTGGATCCTCTTACGCATTGCACTCTAGCCAGAAAATGGGAAAACCGGATCTTCTACTACCGCCGCCACCGAAATTCGAGAAACTTCCTCTAACTAACACGGAGGACGAAATTCCCGAGATCCTCTGCAGCAGCAGCACGCCAACGGCCAGCATAAAGAACGCCTCTCCCAACAGCAAGAGGGTCTCTCCCCCACACAGCGACTTCGGGACCTCCCCGAACCTGAGGAGCGGTCGGAGGTTGATTTTACAATCTATCCCATCCTTTCCTTCTCTCACTCCTCAACACTAGGAGTGAGCCGTGTCATGATTTTCTGCTCGAGAATCGCCTTGGTACTTCCTTGAACTTCGCCTCGTCGAGAGGCTTGTCACTCAATTGCAATTTTTAAGTGTCTTTTTCGTTCAGATGGACCTGCAGTATAATAAAAGTTGTAACCTGCTCTTGAGAATACCAATGTATATTGTAAAATAGTCAATTTTCAGCTGATTCTTGGTCCACATTCCCTTTTGCTTTCTCTTGACTGCATTCATTGTTTAAGTGTACTTTAAACTCCATTTTTTTTCAAGCTTGTATCAATCTGGGAGGGACATGATGAAAATATTATCAGATGAATCTCGGGAATTTGGAAAAAGGATGCGATCTTTTCATGCTTGATATCTGACCATTTCTTGAATGAAGGGCTTATGCCTTGGTTTTCATAATTTTGGAGTGTGATCTGCTCCTGCAAATTTTAAGGCCCTGGTTCTTGATATGTCTTGTCTGTTCCCGAAGCTCCGACTCAACTGGAACAGCAAATTCAACCTCTAAGCAACAGTACTCGGGCATGCCTGTGGTTTATTTTCTCAAGAGTCGAGTGGAGGATAAACTTCAAAAATATATTTTCTGAAGGATGCAAAGAGATATACATTATTTTTAACTAATGATCATTTCTCCGCCTCTACTTTTTTTTTTGTCGGATCCACCTCTACTTTTGAAAATACCATATACACACTTGAATTTTGCCTTTCGAGACTACTTTGTGCCTTCATATTCATTTTTTTTGTGTCCCAATTTAGGAAAATGTCATTTTCTTTGCAAAGATGACCATCCCCAAATTATAAATTGTCACATCCACTCAAAATACTCAGGTTTGTTTTGGTTTTTTCAAGCCAAAACACTAGCCCAAATATTAGAATGAATTTACAAGGAGGGACAATTTGGTTTTTTTCTAGTTTTGTTTAGGTGCATGTGAATGGTGTTTGTAAAAGTAGAGGCATGCAAATGGTTATTGGATCAAAAGTGAGATACCTTTTTCATACTTTACCTATATTATGTGGTTCATCACGGCGAAAATTGAAATTAGGTTCTCGATTAGATTTCAAGTTCCAGTTCCTCAACGTGATAAGCTGAATTAGATCAATGAATATCCCTATTTCCATCATTGGTCATTGGAAGTTTTCGATTCAATTAGGTTTTGTTAAATCTGTCACTTAAACTTAGGGTAATTCTTAGATCCGCCATTTTAAATTATTATACTTTTGCACAAATATAATTAGATCGTTATTTGATACAAGATAGAGACTTTTAAGATTAGTTTCATTAGTAGTAGATTATGAAATGGTTATATATTAGTAGTAGGAAAAGTGTCAAAAAAGTCTTAAACCTATTGCATTTGTGCCAAGTTTAGTCGTAAACTTTTTTTTCTGTCAATTCAGTCCTAAATCTTGTCTTGTGACAATTCAGTCCTTCCGACTAATTTTTGCCAAATATTGCTGACGTGGACACCGGCTAGCCTACGTGGCACCGCCGGCGATAACGTGGATAACTTTTAATAATATTTTTTGAATTATTTATTTATTTATTTTATTCTTTTCTTTTCTTTGCTTTTTCTTTCTTTTTCCTCCGGCTAGTCGCCGGTCCGATGACCGATTGGAGGCTAGGGCTGGCGAACCCCACTGGCGAGGTCCGCGAGGTAGTGACCTTCGACCTCGCGGCCTTTGGCGGCTCGAGCCTTGCTAGCAGCTGGGCAAGGCACAACCTCGCCGGATCTAGCAAGGTTGGGCCTCACCCATGGCCGGCGAGGCTCAACCCTCGCCAGCCTTGCGTGAGGCTACCCTCACAGCCATTTGGCAAGCCTCTAGCAAAGGCTTGAGCCTCGTCAGCGGCTGGGCGAGGCACGACCTCATCGAATCTGGTGAGGTCGAGCCTCACCCATGGCCATCGAGGCTCGACCCTCGCCAGATCCGACGAGGGTGAGCCTCACTAGCCCAGTGAGAGGTCAAAAGCCACGACCTCGCGGCCATTAGCGAGGGTGAGGCTCAACTTTGCTGTCGCTGGCAAGGGCGAGCCTCGCTAGTGGCCGGTGGGGCTCGCTGGCCCTGGCCTCCAACCGATCGTCGGTTCGGCGACAGGCTGGAGGAAGAAGAAAGGAAAAGCAAAAAGAAAAGAAATCTATATTTAAAAAATATTAAAATATTATTAAAAGTCGTTCATGTAATCGCCAGAGGTACCACTTAGGCCGATCGGTGTCCACGTCGGCAATATCCGACCAAAATTAGCATGAAGGATTGAATTGGCACAAAGATAAAATGTTTATAATTGAATTGGCATAAGAAAAAAAAGGTTTATGACTAAATTGGCACCAATGCAATAAATTTAGGATTTTTCTGACACTTTTCCCATTAGTAGTGTTGGTTAACTATCGTCACTTAGTAAAATAATTATAAAATTCTATGATAGATATTAAAAAAATTTCAATTTTATTGGTACGCCGGTTTATTTGTCACTAACACCGTAATGAATTTACCATGTTTAAATACCTTGTGATTACAAACAGTTAGTTCGATTTTAGAAGTGTTCCTTCTTATATATTAGTAAATTCATCAAGCAATAGATGAATTAACCGCAGTCAAAATATTAGCATTTAATTTAAGTTTTACAAGTGGGCCTTTTGTTAGTAAACAAGCGATTATTTTTAGAAAAATATTTTCCAAATCATTCATTTTCTCCTAAACAAACGGAGCCTAAGTGGATAACAAAATATTTTTCAAATTATTCATTTTCTGCGAAACAAACGTAATCAATGAATGATTTGAAAAATATTTTTTTTAAAATGATCGCTTGTATCCCTTAAAATAATTAGATAATGAAAAAAAAATTTCATTATCGACAATATTTTGTCTAAAAATTTTCGTGAATGATAAAAATATTTTTCACTCATTCAAGCGATCATTTTTAGGAAAATGTTTTCCAAATTATTCATTTTTTGCAAAATAAACGGAGTCTAAATAATAAACTATCTTTCGCCTGAATTTTCAATACAAAGTCAGCTATTCGGGTTCAAAATATCCCTCTAAACTAAATTGAACATATATCTCGATTTTCCAAGGAAACTGCCTTAGAAGTATCAACTGAATTCGTGTTTAATCGAGATTATTAGCAAAAGATCCGATGTGGTCTCTCCCTAAGGTTCGATTGCAATTCATTGAAATCTTTTTCAGTTGCCACTATGATAATATCAGGGAAGAAAAAATGAATTATGTTTTTAAATATGTAGCTTTGCCACAATTTGACTGCACAATTATGAATATTATCCGCAGAATGTGGATATAATTATATTTTTCTCATTTCTTTTATTTAATTTGGAAAGTTTAACGTCGAATTAAACAATCACAAACCATAGCCAGCCATTAAAAATCACTTCCATTCCATTTTAAGCGCTAAATTTATTGACTTCAACTGATCTCTCTTTAACATCTCCAATAATTGAAACTAAGCAACTCTAAAGTGCAAACATCAAGTGTTTTTTTTTTGGAAGAAAAAACATCAAGTTAAAACTAAGGTTATATGATAAACATTTTACTAAAATATAGCTTGTCACCAGTAGCCTCTGAAATATTGAAAACTTGTTAACCTCGACGAAGTGCTAAATAGCATAAGTTTTTTTTAGCTAACTAAACAGAAATACTTTGAAATTTCGAAAAATTTAACTTAATTTTAAAAATAAAACACAATATAAGATTAAGCATTACCTCACCTGAAAATTAGAATTTACAAAATGAGGGAAGAAAATGTCAATATTCGCTCCGTTTGTTTCGTAGAAAATGAATAATTTAGAAAATATTTTCCTAAAATTGATTGATTATAACGCTTGAAATGACTAGTCAATGAAAAATATTTTCATTATTCTAAATATCTTCGTGGACGATAAAAATATTTTCCATTCATTCATTTTTGTAAACGGTATAAGCGATCATCTTTAAAAAAATGTTCTCCGACCATTCATTTTTCGCGAAACAAACGGAGCCTAAAGATGGTTTTGCATTTAGAAATATCAAATATATGATGAAACAAACTAATTATCTTATGTGTACAAATAGAACATTAATTTGTTTCTACAATTATACCTTCCGCCACAATTCTGTCCCGTGTTGGCCGTTAACAATTTTACGTGGTGGCTTACATGGACAACGGTAGGAAAACCAAACTGACATGGATCGAGTGAACAATATCAAATATAATGCATCACATTAGCTTGGTTGGTAACCCCCAATCTTTATCACTTGAAAAATCCTAATTGCCTTCGATTTGTCCTAACTTTTGCCCCACATTGTCGTTTTGACTACATTTGATCCACGTGAAACGTAGGACTTCAACGAAATACTTTGGACAGAAATGTGACGAAGGATACATTTATCACACTGGTATGTGATAATGGTGAATTTTGAAGATTTTGACAGAAAAAAAGATTTAGGGGTATCAATATCAGTGGCCAGACCTTTGGTGGTATTTTTCCCTATTGTAAATTCATCCGCGTATGCCTCGGACTGAAAATTCTAGTCTCAGTAACCCCACAGTAGATGTCGTATAAATAATTAAAAAGAAAGATTGCCAAGCATGCATAAATCTCTATTAAAAACAAGACAATATTATAGGTATGAATGACGCCTGCTGCAATGCAAAGGCACTCCACGACTCCACGAGCACTTGATTGAGCTCGGTCTTACAAATGACAAGGCGAGGCAAACCGTATTACATCCGGGTCACCAAAAAACCAGAGCATTCGTGAGCACTCAAATGGTACCGATGTGCAGGGACAACGGGACAAGAAAGGAGTGGTTTAAGAAGGGTCCGAAGGATCCATGTAGCAACATCAATCTTGCAGAATCTCAGCAATCAAAAGAAGAAAACATCGAAATTGGAACCGGCTTGAATCGAACCGGGTATTAACTAGAAATGAAGTTGATAGCTTGTCCTATCGAAAAGCATCACCTCCAACAAAGCTACCATACAGCAAGCAGAAGGGTTTAGCTTAAAGCACACCTTTATACCAGACCAAGTGAAACAATACAGAGATACTGCAGAAAATTCTAATTCTCGTCTCATCATTAATAAGTATGGAAGGAGCTATGTAACCATCTTCTCAGCTAAAGAACAAAACAACATCGCTCAATTATCAAAACCATTAATTCTTGCTGAAGCAAAAGATCGTCTGGTCTGTAGAAAGGACT